TAGATAGATAGATAGATAGATAGATAGATAGATAGATAGATAGATAGATAGATAGATAGATAGATAGATAGATAGATAGATAGATTTGTGTGTGTAACAAATGGAAAGATTAGATAGATGATAGGGACAACAGTGTAGTGGCTGTAACAAATCAGCAAAGAAGCTTGATGTGATATTTCTGATTAAAAAAAATAATCTTCACTTCCTTATCAACCTGGACACCTATTAAAATTGTGGATAGGAAGAGGAACAATATTACATCTGGTGCATCTATATAGGTTTCATTAAAGTTCTTGTGTAGCCAGCTCTTCTGTTTGACACAGTGTTTTTCTTGTTTAATTTAATAGGCCCACACAGACTCATTAAACACCCTTGTGGCTTTACACCAGCTCTACCAATATACTAACAAGTACTATGATGAGGTAAGCTTCCACCACTGAGTTTGTTTTATTATTATTCTGTAGAAAGTCATGAGATGGGTAAGATCTCAACAAGCTGGCCTGCCTCCAGGCGGATAATTTCCTGGCTTACTGGATGCTTGACTTTGACCAAGAGACTGTAATTCATATATGAGGAAAAATATACACCTTTAAAGCATGTTCAGAAGAATTCCATCTCTAAATATAGGTGTGTTTCATATGGGATTTTATATCCAAATATAACAGATTTCTTGGCTACCTTAAATAAGAACAGTGAAGGGTTGCTTATTAACAAAATGTCCAGGAGGCATCAAATGTCACAAACCTGGCTTACCACCCTTGAAATAGATAGAGAATACATTTTGCCATCCATTTGATAGTAGTTTCTTACATTTTGAAAATTCAATCCCACTGCTCACAATGAGGAAAATGGCTCTACAGATTCCTATTAGCAGGGAAGGTTCTTTCTGATTAATAGATAGCAGTCTTTTAAAACCCCTGGAGTATATTTCTCAAGAAATGCTTATAGGATCATATTGTAATATCTTGACTTGAATGTTCTCCTTTTTATTTTTATTTTAGATTATAAATGCACTAGAAGAAGACCCAGCTGCACAAAAAATGCAGCTTGCTATTCGATTACAACAAATAGCAGCTGCTTTAGAGCATAAAGTGACTGACCTTTGATTTGAAAGCTGCAATAAAAAAAGTCTGATCTGAAGATGTGTAAATTCATTCTCCCTAATAAGAAAATAGTGTTCTATTTTTTAATGTGTAATTACAATTTTAAATGAAAAAACAAAAGGCTCCTTTTTTATATAGAACCACTGTAATGTAAAGAGTTTTTACTGTAAATTATGCTTCTAATTAAAATCTTGTGTGGTGTATAAATGAATTTCCAGAGGGACATGTGGGAGGTCCATAAGGGGAAGGGAGGGTGGGGGGGCAGTTATACTCATTTAATCAAATAGTACAATTTTTGAAACATCAGCGTTTTTTAGAAATCATTATGCTAGTAAAATCATTACCTATAATTTCTTTATATTTTAAGCAATATTTGTACTAGAAAAAACAATAGCATATTGGAAAGATAAATGCAATATCCCCTTTTAATTTCAATAACTGGAAATAGCTTTTCCCCCTCTTTTTTTTTTTAAAAAAAAAAACCATTCATCAATCTTCTGCTTCTGAGGAGGATATAAACAATTTATTTGCGATGACTTTCCTTTTAGGAGATTGCGGTGGATTGGGGTTCCATATTTCTTTTACATTCATGTGAATGTCAAATGCTAAAACACGTGGTTGTAACTACTACTCCCCAAGCCCCCTTTTTCACAATCTAAGGAGATGATGCTGTAGATCTATTGTGATGGTTTGGTTTTTGTTTTGTTTTTTAATCTTGGAAGGAGTCTACAAGTCTCTAAGAACATAAGTTTCAATCTTGAATGCCAGAAAATACTCAAGACTTTGGAAGATGTTTATATTGCTCAGTAGGAAATGGGATAAAGTCCCAAGGTACTTCTAAAGAGCCAAAGTTGATCCAATGTACCATTGGCACAAAGGGGAACCAGAAAGATAGAAAACCTTTTTCTCTGACTTTGAGTAAAGTGATTGTTACACATGCCAACCTACTGTTACATTTGGAATTGCAATTCACACCATGGGCAAGTTACCCTTGAGGCATAGTTTTAGCTGTGTCAAAGATAATGCAACATTCAAGGCTGCTTTTCTGAGTTAGCAAGTATCCAAGATTCAGAAATACTTGGATCTAGATCTGGATTTGATCTTCTTATTCTCAGACCATTTCTTAAAATCTCTGATGAAAACAGTACAGACAACAAATTCTATTCATTCAAAAGTTTGTCAAAACAAACTGGCTTTTCCTTTTGTTCTTTTTTTAATTGTTAATTATATATATATGCTAATGTGCCTTACTTGTACTAATTATGTTGATCTGAATGGTTTTGTAAAGAGAATCATATCAAAATATTTATGTGTGGTTTGATGACTTTTGTGAGAAAATTTGACCAGCAGAATGCCTGTAGTTAGCTTTTTGCCAATAATGTGCAGTTTGACCTGATTCAAATATGTGTATCTTTTGTTGAAATGGTTCATAGGATTTTTAAAATGAATTTTCACGTTATCCTGGGAAGATTGCTAGTAGATTGTTTTAAAACACAAGTAGAAACAAAGAATACCCTGTGTCTGAAATATAAAATACTAATTGTAAAAGAAATTCCATGCCTTGTCAAGGATAAACACTATCTGAGCCTTGGAAAACTGCAGTGAATAGAATTATTACCTTTGCAGTGGAAATTAAAGTACCTTATTGAATATGTAATGTGTGTGGACAGTATTAGCTTATAGGCAAGTTTATAAAATTTGATATGTAATCTTAAAATGTTGTTACACATGTATACACACATAAGAAATCTCGGTTACATTTATTTTTCACAATAAGATGGATTATTTTGGTCAATTCAATAGCATTTTCCAAGTAGCACTGTTCTTTGGTACCGTAAACTTGCTTTGCTCTTAACATGATAACAATTTTATTTGCTACCTCTCTCTGTATTGAAGTTGATCTCGACTTTTGTCCTGATGTCAGTTTTAAAATGTATTTTATTAATCTTTTGATTTCTGTAGAGTGAATTACAGACCGTATTGGCTGGTGACAATGTTCATTGCCTACTGTAGGGGAATTGCAGAAGCAAAAGAGGGAAACAGCATACTGCTTTTCTTGTTTTTCCTTTGTTTTCTTATTGTATGCACACCTCAGCATATGGAACTATGAATTGTTTGTATGAGATTACCTACGAATTCTGGGTCAAACTAAGCTTCTTTTACTCGCTTTCTGACTGATCAACAAACATGCTTACCTGCTTTGTTTTGTCATTGTTTGTAAATCCTGTTAATTGTAAATCAAATACAAGGGGTTTTTGTTTTCCACAAAGTGTTCTCCTTGAATTTTTAAAGTTTCTTTTTAATTCTTTTTAAAAAAAATAGATCTTGGCTTTTTATTAATATTCCTCTGTAACGGTGGTTGTGTATTAGGTCACAAATTAATGCCTCAGAAAAAAAAATACCTCTAATTATTAAGTTGTGGAAGAGTTATATAGTAGCCGCAAGAGTCTTCAAAAAGACTGGCCCTCAGATCCTTGAATATTTGGTTTAAGCAGAAGCTGAGCTGCCTCCAAAACTACTACTTCAAATGTTGGTGGCAACAGTGATATTCAATATGCTGACTCATTTAAGGTTTATTCTCTCTAAATCAGCACCCATAGGCTTTTTCAGATAAATTTCAGTTAAAGATTTGTGTTAGATTTTGACTCAATATTTTCTGTTTATGTCTTGCAACATTTAATGCTGTTACTAAAACAAAATTCTGTACATTTCCAAAAATTTCTCAGGATTTCAGTGGGATCAAATAATAACTCTTTATGTTTGGCCAAAAGAAGAGCTAATTCTGAAATCATGTATTCCAGCCAGTGACTGAAAGGAGGTTACATGCCCAATGAACATTTTGAAAATTAAATCCATCTTTCTCATCTGGCAATTGTAATTTATGCAAGGAAAATCTCACAGGAAGTTGGTGCTGATAGCAAGTACTCTTATTAAAAGAATGTATTTCACATCTTTGAAGAATTGAAAATCACAATTTAAAGCAGCAGCAGCAACCCACAAATAGGTATACAATTTCTAAGTGCTACTTACAGTAGAAAGTAATCTTTTTCTAAAATAAAAATAGACAGGGAGGGAAGGTTGAAAGAGAAATGAAGATCTATTTTTTTCCATCAATCCTGTTTTGAGTGTTGTAGATCATAAGACTGCATTATGATGAAGCAATATAGTTGCTTTGATGAAACAAGAAAGGCAGGAATCTCGAATCAATTTACCTTCAAAATGTTTATAAAAGAACTCTTTAATACTATGTCCATCTTAGTATTTATATATATTTTAATAGTGATTAGGAGAAAACGAAAACAAACATAAGGGACAAACTTTTCAGACATTTGAGGAAACATTTTAACTGCTGAGACTAGGTCCAGTAGTCCTATATTTACATATTAGATTATGAAATTCAACTGATCCATATTGTGGAATTTGAGGGGAAACAGAATTCAGAGATTAAGGAAAAAGAGATGCAAAGAGTTTGCAATAATAAGCTTCAGTTTTAGGTTAGCAACATTATTTTGCATCAAAATGTTGATAGCCTTAAAAAAAGGAGTTTATTACTGCTCATTTTAAAATGCTGTTTTAAAAGTGATGCTTAAAATTATAAAGTATACGAACAGAATGAACAAACAGAAATAAATAACTGTTCCTTGTTTTTCATTAATTCTGATCAGTTTACCCTTTTAAAATATATAGAGATTAAAAGATGTAAAATAAAATAAGACTTAAGGGTAACCTTAAACGAAAAGACCCAAGAGAGTTTAACAGAATTAAATGATTCAACGAACATTCTATATAATCTGTGGGATGAATTGCTTTTTGAATCAAAAAAAGTCTTTCTTTTTTTTAAAAAGACTTAAAAGTATTTATCCGAAGACAGAGAAAAATGATTCATTGCTTGGGTAGAGCACAATAATAGCTCCTTTTTCAAGTTTTCTATAGCCTGGTTTTGAAGAGGAAAAATGCTACCAAGTCACATGCTGTGTTTCTAAAATCGCCTTTTCGCTCTTCTAATTCTGAACAATGTTTGGGACTAATTTAATTCTCTTCAAAATTGAACGTTGAGTGAAATGGTTACTCTCCCTCCTCCCCTTTTAATCCTTCATGTAGCAAGAAAGAAATGAAAGCGGGAAAGTATCCCTTTGATACTCTTAATCTTTTCTCTCCTGTAGCTTGGACCTATTCAGTGCAAGATCACATTTGCTGGTTTCATGGCCTGAATGCCAGTCCCTGAGACATTAAAAAAATATGTGTTTGCTGCAGCTGAGCGTAGGTAGGTTTGTGATGGTCCTGTCAATTGTAAAGCTGCCGCAAGGGGTTTCTAGGAACCTTACTCCCTAATGCAGAGCTTCTCAGCCTTGGCCAACCTGAAGATGCATGGACTTCAACTCCCAGAATTCTCCAGCCAGCTCTGGTTGGGGAATTCTGGGAGTTGAAGTCCACGCATCTTCAGGTGGGCCAAGATTGAGAAGCACTGCTCTAACGGTTCTTGATCTTTCATTGCTTTCCCCCCTGCTGTTCTAGTCTGTTCTGCATTGCACCTTTATGATTCTGTTATATGGAGCCGAGGTGGCACAGTGGTTAGAGTGCAGTACTGCAGGCCACTTCAGCTGACTGTTATCTGCAGTTCAGCGGTTCAAATCTCACTGGCTCAAGGTTGACTCAGCCTTCCATCCTTCCGAGGTGGGTGAAATGAGGACCCAGACTGTGGGGGCGATATGCTGACTCTGTAAACCGCTTAGAGAGGGCTGAAAACCCTATGAAGCGGTATATAAGTCTAACTGCTATTGCTATTGTTAAATCTGCTTAAAACTGCATTCTTTTTTTCAAACAAATCGAATGCATTAGAACTTTCATCACTGGTGAGGCAATGTTTGCTGTAGAAGGGAAAAAAGACCAGGGAAAAAGAAAAAAGATAATTATTTTTTTAAATGTACGTGGAATTGTATTCCTATCCCAACCACTTTTTTTTCCCCCAAGGCAAATAGATTTAAAATGTCAATGAGAATTTCCTTCAGGCGGGCTTCCTTAACATACTTGGATGACAATCCAATATCTGAAGTGTTTTCTAAGTCTTGAAAAATAATCCAGGAGAAGGAAGTTATTGACAGAAATGAGCATCCAGATCAATATGGA